CTGAGCAGGGGTCATGCGCACACCTGCAAAGCTGCCCCCTGCAAAAGGACAGTCAACCAAGCAGCTGCGGCTCAACAGCACTCTGACAAACTACTGCGAGCGCTCGAATTGAAAGGTTTGAGGTGTCAAGGCATGGCGAGAGGTTAGGGAAAAGGCAAGAGGGCAAGGAGCATCCCGCCAAAGCTTCTTCTGGTATTCGAAATGCAGTCGCTGGTTGCAAAACAGCTGTCGTTTTTCCGGCTATCCAGGCTGCACTAGACCTTTATGCAAAACGTAAAGAAATCTTATAGAGGTTTGGCAAAGGATGCCCAGTGTTAAGGCAGCAAAGCGCCGGCTTCCGTATCAAACGCATCAAAATGGTTGAAGACTCCTGCTGACTAAGTGGCTGGCCCAAGACTCCCGCAAGACGCACGCAAGCATGGCTGTTTCTCGACGTAGCACCGGGGCTGGCGGTCTTCTTTGCGCCATTGCTGTGGGCTCACTGCTATGTGAAGGCTTCGTTGGAAGTCCAGAAGCGGTCGTGACACGCAGAGTTGCGGCCGCAGCCTCGCACCGGAGTCGGCGATTCGTTGTTGATGCAGTCGCGTGGTTTGCAGCGGCCGGTGCCACAGAAGCGACAGCAGCACCCATTCAATTCAACGCGCAGCTGGCTGGGGACTTGAGCGAGGCCCAGAAGCGAAGCATCAAGGCATACCTTGAGAAGAACAAGGATGCTCCGACTGTTGATGTGGTCATTGGTGAGCGGCCGATGAAGGTCTATGTGAAGCCGACGGCTGAGGAGCTCAGGCCCGGGAGCCCCGAATTCAAGGCTGGGAGCCTCTCCTGCAGTACTGAATGCATTGGTCTCCTCTCTACCCCTACTGTATCTTGAGCTTCTCAGAAGCATGCAGCATGATCCCGTAGGCACGAGTGGCCAGTGTACGTCCTGATCTTGGCGAGCGTCTTATCGATGCGGAGAAAGCAGCGAAGATGGTTCAGGACGGCCGGCAGAATCTAACAAGCCTGGCCGTTGGATCGGAATCCTCCCTCTGCTGCATTCCCCAAGGCAAAGCACTGCCCTGAAGACCAACGAAGCGTAACGAGAGACCTGTCTCGCGATCGGTTTAAGTAAACCTAGTAGTATACCTCTCTTGAATCACAAAACCGTCGTCGCCGAAGCCCTTCAGCATGCTCTGGAAAGGCCTCACAGGGGCCTCAAGTCAGTAACACTCTGCAAGTTTTGCTTCGGCAACAAATGCTCTGAACGCTGTCCTGTTTGACTCAATCGTATGACAATCCGAAGGCCGAGCCCTACTGTGCTGCTCTTTTGCATACAGGGCTGCAAGCACAGAGCCAAGCCAAGTCTCCGACCTTCCCACCACACGCGGCGCGCTCCAGGACGGGGCTGTCCTTGTGGATGTTCGCACACGCGAAGAGGTCTTGGAGCAGACCGGAGGCGAGCTTCCCAAGGCTGCAGGGAGTCGCAATTGGTGTGTTCTCAGTGAGTATCTTACTTACTCGGGACCTCCAAGAGCTATTCATGGAACAGGCAGCGTAGGCTAACGGATCATCGTTTTTCGAGTGGCTATGCCGATTGAGAGCTGGGCAGGAGTTTCGTGCTCTTAGAGGCATCGGTGACGGACTGGTGTGTAGATTCGATAGCTGGTAATTAAATGGGGTAGCCGGGTAGCCGATAGCATTTCGTCGTGCGCAAGATGCAGACAACCTTGAGACTTGGGATGCCGAAGTTCGCAGCGTCCAGGTCGCTGCTCTGGTGCCCCTGGACGAGTGGGCAGGGCGCGCTCCGCCGCCGCTCATGCGAGGCAAGAAGGTCGTCCTGACGTGTTTCCACGGCAACAAGCACCCCGCCTGCATCCGCCTGCCTCAGTGCCAGACTGCGTTGCAGACCGAATGTGGACATGAGCGAATGCAGCCTTGCTTTTCTTCGCTGTCGATATGTCATAGTCCTGTGTTTGATACAGACTGAGGAGTGTGCTTGCTTGGGAATCTCTGCGCTCCCAGTTCGTGGATGCCTATGTGCTGGACGATGGGGTTGCGGGCTGGAAGGCTGCAGGTTTGTCTACACGGAAAGTTTGAGAGAACTCCAAATCTGCAATTTGCATGGATGCCAAATGGGCCCAACTTTCCTTTTCCAGCCCGCCTGGAAACAAGGAGATGGGCCTTGTACAGCCAGCGCATTGGAAAATCAATCCTAAATTGCCCTTTAACTTCAGCCGGCAGAACATGCCCACATATGGCGTGACTGCACCATGCTCGCGTGAAGACAAGGAAATGTCCTTCGTGCCAGGGTTTCCGAAGAGACGGAAATATTCAGAAATCAAGAGCCATAACATACGATCTTGAGAATCAACAAGAAAAAGCTAGAAGACGGGTGGCCCGAAAGCATCATTTGCGAAGAGTTTAGCGCCATGTAGAGTCATAGAGTTAAGTACATAAAGTCATAGAGTCAAGTGCACAGCTTGAGTACATAGGAGCTAGTGCATAGAGTCATAGAGTCAAGTGCATAGAGTGGTGAAGTACATACAGAGTCCAGTGCATACACAAAATCCGGTGCGTAGAGTCATAGAGTCATAGAGTCAAGTGCATAGAGTGAGGAAGTACAGAGTCCAGTGCATACACAAAATCCGGTGCATAGAGTCATGAAGTACATAGTTCCCTCTACCTTACATGTACTTGATCGACTTTATTGTCTCTACATTTCGATGTTTATCGCGAATCTTTCGTGGTCGAATGAACGAACGCGAGGTCCCTTACCATGGATTCGCGTGGTCGAATGCACGAACACGAGGTAAACTTACCAGTGGCGGCCCAGGTACCGCGCCAACATCGCCACGCGCAGCCCGTACCACGGATTCGCGTGGTCGAGTGCAACCTTTTGCGGGGATTGGCGTGGTCGAGTGTACGAACGCGCGGTAAAGTTGCTACTTTTAGGGTTCCCGCGCAACCTAGTACGTCTGTACGAAG